ACCGAATGACTTAGTCACACGAAAAGATACACGAGCTGTTGGACAATGAAAATGACATAAGCATGTAAACTCTGGGATCACGGCAGAGCATTAGCATGGCAGAGCTGATTAGTAAACCAGGAGACATTACTCAAGCAGTCAGGTGCATTACCAGATTGGAAAGTTGCCTTTTTTCTGAGTTGTTGGTCACTGTCAGAGGCAGCAAATGACACCCAGTGGCCCAACAATTTGCCCTGGAATGGCAGGAGCTGTGATACAGAAATGGATGGACTAGCATCTGCTCTCAAAAAGCAAGAATTAGAGTCTGCTCTGAATTGGCAGGAGCTACGGTACCGGGAAGAGAGGACAAAAGGGCAAGTCAGTGCACTATCCAGGGATATTGAGCAAGATGAATAAAGGGGCTGGAAATGTACTTTCAGTGCTGCAGCACCAGACTAGGTGAACAAATAACCCGATCCAGTTTAATGAAGCTTGTGATCCTCCACCTCCTTTGTGGAATGGGTGTCCCAGGGTCAGCGTGTGCCCGCACGAGCATGCACACATCCTTATCTTATCTAATTACTAGAAGTTTCAGATTAATTTCAGTGCAGCTGCTTGAAAGGGCTGTTATCAGCCAGGGCTTTGTGGTTTAACCTTGTTACCCTTTTGTTGTTAACCTTTCCGAATGGCAGCGAGGGGAAGGCTGAGATCCTGATGTGCTGGAGGAGCAGGGAGGGGGCGGACAGGAACTGGCGAGTCTGCGCCCCCCGGTTTTGTGCCTTCAGCTCCACTTCAGGCTGCCTGACAGGACCCCTGGCTGCTTACCTCTGCTGACAGGCACTGGTACCCAGCCACACAGAACAGCCCGGAACAGGGACACGTCTCCTGCCAACCTCTCCAGATCCTTTGATATTTCCGACAGCGCAGTAAAGGACTCTGGCTCTCACATTTTACCTTGCATCGCTCAGCTCCTCTAAGGCTGCCCTGCTTTGTTTCCATAGCTACATCCAATCGCATCTGGCTTCCTGTGAAATTGGATTTCAAAGCAAGACAAGCCTTCAAAGGAATTTGTCCATTTAACAGAATATCATTAGGAGAGAGCCTGTCTGCTGAACTTGGGACCTAAAATGATTAAGGTGGGGCTTTTATCATGTAGGGAGGCAGCTTTACATCTAGAGCCCATAAAGCTTGATGCTACATAACAATGATGCAGTGGAAATTGCCAGTCACTGCCAGACTCCTCCATCTCCTCCCCAGCTGACCACTAAACTAAATTTGTAACCTATTCACACATTCAAAAATGAAAGTGCCAAGGAAAAAGGCAAGGCAAAAAAAAAGGCCATTTGCCTGGGAATCAGTCTGCCTGGCTCTATCCGCAGCTGTGTAGGGCTGAGGGGAACGCTTGGCTTGGTGCTAAGGCTTCGGGTGATAGCACCTATGTCTCCATGGCAGCTCAGGCTCTATGCCTCAATATTCCTCAGAAATATGGATTTAATAATAACAACAGCTGCTGCACGGTCAACCTGGTCTTAACAAAATCTTCCTGTAGAGCCTGAGGGGAAAATTTGAGGTGCTGGGTCCTGTCTCCAGCTGCCAGGACCATGGGATGGATGCATGGTCCAAGAGCAGCCAGGGTGCAACCGTGCCAGCCTCCACACATGATGCTATTTTCAGTGCCCTATGATAACCTCAAGGTCTGTAGCAAAAGGCCAAAAATCACAACTTCAATACAGCTGAGAAGTTGAGCAGAAAAGATCTAGAGCTTTACCGATGCTGTAAACATTGCAACAGCAGGAAATTTGTTGGGTGAAATCCCAACAAGCTCTTCAGCAGTGATCACACCCGAGGCAGCAAAGGAAGGCAAACCCCCACAGAACACCTGCAAAACAAGTCACTGCTAGTTTGACACAAGGGCAAATTTCTTCCAGACCCTAAATGTGATAAATTGGTTTAACTCTTGGGCAAGACTCACTGACCAGGTATCTTCTAGTTCACTCTGTACAGCACTATGCTTGCAGACTGTTATGTGAGCTACAGAAATGCAGAGAACACGTGAGATGACCCTTTTCTTTGCAGTTGCATGAACATTTCTTCCTCTGAGATTTGCATTGATCAGGTTTTATTGATCTTTCTGGCATATCTGAAGGCACTTTCTTCCATCTAAGGGACCTAGTTCATTCCTTTATAAACTCATTTTTAAAGTTAGTCAGTCTCAGCAAGCAGCTGCTTTTTATTTGTAGTCTGTAATGAACTGACTAGGATTTTTACGCAGAAGTGTTTCAGTATTTATCCCTAAACACCTCTAGGTGAGAACACATATACAGATCCATCTACTGTACACATCCACCTACACACGCTACCATTTCTCGCATACAGTCAGAACCACTCAAATGTGTCAGGAGCCATAGGCAGCTAACAGATTCACGTTTTGCTCCCACAGGAGACTCTCAGTTTTCTAAATCCTGACTCATGAAACCCTACCTGACTAGGAGATGTAACGGGGAAGACTACCGTGATGTATGTGCTTTCTAGCAAGGCAATCTCCCGTGTGAGGCCCTCTGAACTGCAGCGATATTTCCTGTGCTTTAAGACCTCTGCATCCACTGAAGAGCAATTTCTTGTACATAGTGTCCTAAAATCAAGACTATTGCAGCGTTGTCCATGTGGACGAACCCACGCAGCAGAGCACAAGGCAAGGGGGGAAGGACAGAAACTGAGGGAACTTACCCAGAGCTGCAGGGTCTGGATTGGTAATGTCAGATGTGAAGTCTGTCTCCAGGTTGCTCTGAAATTATATGTGCGTGCAGAGCACAGCCAAGTGACAAATCAGAAGTGGTGGTGTGTTTCTTTTCCCAGATCCGGAGAGCAATTGAGCCTCCCTAAGCAGGAGAGAAAACATGCTGTCTTCTCTTTGCAACTAAACCCCAAATGGCAGCTGCCACTTCAGCGTTACCATGGGAGAGACGACACAGAAAATGGTGCAATGGTACTTCCCTGGTAAATCAGCTGCATACACCAAACATGTTCATGGTCACGCTATTTTCACTTCTCCTTTAAAGCCATCCCTTCTTGATAAGTGTTATTTATATGTGAGTTACTGAGATGTTGTCCCCATGCATAAAAGTGCTGTATTTCAACCAAAAACTTCCAAAAGAGCTTTGCAGCTGCTTTGGGCGATTTCCCCTTTCACTCCACCATCTACAGTGGAGATAACGCGCTAGAATTGCAGGCACACACCCAAAACCAAAAAACACAAAGCACTGTGCTTCATCTTATACCTGTTATTTATCTGACTTGTACCGACCAACTAAAAGTGTAACAGAGTCTTACCCGCGTGTCTCAAAGTGGGTCACGCAGCATATCAGCAGCTGTTAGCATATGGAGGAGCACCTCCCATGTATTTCCATCATCCCCATATCTGAGCCTTTGCCAGTATGGATCTTATATCACGTACGTGAGATCAGCCTCAAATATGCTGATTGCCTGGACTGGACCAAGCAAGAAGCTTGGGGCAAACCTGGAATCTGCTACGGGTTTCCTTTATCCAAGGCCTGCTGCCAAAAAACTAAGCCTTTGTTCTGTCCAGGTGATGCATCTGGAGAGCTGTAAGAATCTGATCCTGCAGTTACTTGGAAATCTGCTCAGCCTCACGACGTGGCTTTGTCCCACTGAAGCCAGTGGGGTCGTAGTGAAGTGTTTGGGTACCTCAGCCTTTGCAGGCTGGGAGCGCACCGCACACCTTTTCTTTTCCCCTGCAGATTTTGCTTTGCCAGCTTGTAGATAATTACTGTGGCAGGCTGGCGGGCCCAGAGCAGGAGGACAGCAAAGCAGCAAGAGAAGCTTTAAGGGCCCTCCTTGGAGAGTTTGGAGTGGCCCTGCTTCATCGTGGGATGGTACAGCTTGGTAGGTGGCCCGGGCACTCCCCTGCCAGGTGCTGCATTGTGCCCCTGCTGAAAGCAGCAAGCGCTACCTTTTGTGAAGCTCTGTGGGTTTGTAGTTGTGGCCAGCGCATCCTTTTTTGCCACCTCCAACATTTGCTATGTGGGAAAATATAATTCAAGATCACATGCCAGGCATAAAATACCAGAAAAGTAAAAGTGGCAAGCATGTTCAGAATAAGCTTTTCTATGTGCTGTAACAATAAATATTTGTTTAATACCAGGATATTGCAAAGTAAGGCCTGGATCCCGTACACTTAACCTATGGGAAATCTTTAACTGGTCTTTGGAATCATTGATGAGCTTCAGATAAAGAAGACTGTCTTTGGATATTGAGCCTAAGATCTGGGAATGCAAGAATGAAAAATAATAGTGGTACCCTCATAGTCAGCTTGTGCTAATTCATTTATATAGTAGAGGAGCAGATGCAGGGCTGTGGGTTAATCTAATGCAATGCCGTTTTTGTTTTGTAGAGTGCAGCTTGCATTTATTGCCTGTCATAAAGCAAGTTAAAGTGTGCAACCCTGTTATTTCTCTGGGCAAGACATAGAAATATGAATGGCTATTACAATCCAGCCCCCTTCCTACGCAGGATGCAGGAAGAGGGGAAGTTTTATTGCAGAGCAGCCAAGTACCATTCTCTTCCCCTGCACATTAGAGAGGGGAGCCTGCCTTTGCCTGGAACAGCTCCAATCCCCAACTGTTGTGCTCGGAACAGGCACAGGAGGTTAAATCGGGGGCCCGCAGCCACAGCTCAGCTGGGCCAGCAGGTGCCCTGAGTTGTGCAGTGACGAAGGCCATGCTCACCCAACTGCCACCTGATTAAAATGCTGCCATAGGCTCAGCTGTGCTGTTGCTGGGGTGGGGTCAGGTACTTTTGCAGCTTTTGGGTTGGAGTGCTGGCTCTCTGGAGTACAGAGGTGCTCAGTACCTGGGTGTCCTGGCTGCTTGCAGGGAGGTAGGTTGAGCTGGCTGGGGCTGTGAGAGGAGGAGGCATCTGAGGGGAGCCCAGCAGCTCCTCCTACTTTTTTTGGGGTGTCCCCGCCCTCCCCACTTCCTTCGTCCCTGCCCCAGAGGGACAGGAGCAGTTGCAGCAGGTTTGACCCTTGTGGAAAGGAGGTGGCAGGTATGATGATCCCAGAGGAGATTCAGAGGCTCCTGGAAGGTAACCATGAATTCCTCTTTGTTCCCCTTCTGCTTCATGGGGGAAATCTGCTGTGGTTGCGGGGGAAGAAGCTGAAATGTACCTTGCTGTGCTGAGCCAGAGGGAGGAGTGGAAGGGCTGTGGGAGCTACTTCTCCTCTAAGGCTGGTGGGTTTGGGGTGCTCAGGTTATGTATGCTTTCCCTGTCTGTAATTCCAGTGAGAGTGTAGGGGATGTGGCCGCCTGCCCTGGCGGTTTTGGGGCTGTCAGGAAGGCAGGAAGGCCTGTGCCTGTGCTGGTGGGGGGAAGCGTGCTGGTGGGCCCAGACCCTGTGTAAGGGGCAGCAGGTGTATGCAGGATTGAGGGGTGTCTTCTGGCCTGGCCAAAAGATGTCCCTGCTGAGTGCTTTCTGTTGAGGTATTGAGAACTGGGTGGCTCTGCTGGTGGGCATCACCAGGGTGAGACAAGGGAGTGGGTACACAGGGTAAAAGAAACTTGTGTGCTACCATGAGCCCTCAAGCAGGCTTTTGGTGTGGCTGTGATTGTGGTGTCTCCTGGCTTTAGGTGTTGTGCTGGGGATGCAGTGAGCAAGTTTGCTTGGTGGGGGTGCATCCTCAGGAAAGCTTCACCTCCATTGGAAATGGGGGTACAGCTGAGTGCCGTACTGGCTTCAAGCCCCGCTTCTGCTTGATAATTTGAGTGTGACCTCCTGAGGTCTCAGCATCTGAGTGAACGAGCCGTGCTGAGAGCTGACAGCATTTCCTTCTGTGTGTGTGTGTGTAAGATAGCAGGTGGGAGGCTGCTGAAGTCGTTTTTCCTGGATTTCTTAACAAATTTGAACTGTTACACCTCCGCTCGTTGAAGTGGTGGGTCAGCCAGGCAGAAACCATGCCAAGCTCTTCTGTCAAAATATGCTTCATAACCAAGTTCTGTATGGCCCTTTGCAACCATTGCTGACCCCATGGTGTGGTAAGCAAAGGCTGGGTGAGAGCAGTGCCGTAGCAGTGACCATGCTACAACCTCTCTGTAAACGAAACCTTGGCAGCAGCATTGCAGGCTGGAGCAACGGTCTCAGCCCATCATTGAATGAGAATGTGCACGTTGCTGCTGGCACATCCTGCTCTTGCAGATGTGGGTGGGTGGTGGGGAAGAAGTCATCAGCATCTTGCTGTTTGGAGCGGTGGTGTTTGGGGCTGGCCCTGGCTCCTGCAAGGCTTTGGGACCTTTTGTTTGCTGTTGCAATGGCTCTTGGTAGCACGGAGCACTCGTCCCTTCCCCTCTGAGATGCGGGATAACTTCCAGTCCTGGGATCTGTCAGTCAGAGAGTGTGTGTGTGCAGCCTCCAAGCCCGTCAAAGCTCTCTTCCAAATGCTTTGTGTCTTCCCCCAGATGTAGGTGTAAATTTTCTCCTCTGTTTTTTAATCATGGGGCTTCAGCGAAGTTCACCCTTTCACGTGTTTGATGTGCAGCACTTTATTGTTCAGTGCTGACACTTTTGTAAACAACTCATTTCTGCACCTGCCACCTTCCTTTAACTTAGATTATTTTCTTGTTAGCTGACTGTTTTTAATTGAAGGCTTCAGATCTCCTTCTAAAGCACAGCCTTTGTTTGCTGACAGGTATAGCAGGCTATGAATGGAGATTAATTGCATGTCACATACCTCTGTATCAAACTTGCTGTGTCTTAACAATCTATGCAGTCTTGAGGCCTTCCCGTGGCTTAGGAGGTTTGTAGCTATGCTGGCTGGAAATGAAGGAGCTTAAGCTATTTCAGTGTTTGCAAACCGTGTTGCCATAAGAGTTCTTGTGTTTAAAATAAAAATTACAAATAGAGGAGGAAATGTACTGATGTATGGGCGGTAACATCTGCTGCCTTACACTGAAGCCTGGTCCTCAGAGCAGGGCTGTTTACATGATGCACAAAGCAGGTAGTGGGTGGCTTGCCAGCAACAGTTGTGTTGTTATCGCGTAAGACATCTCTGAGGTCGCGGTGGTTGAAAGCCAGCACAATATGGCTATCCTCTCAACACTGCAATCCTGCAATGCTTACCATTGCTTGCTATTTTCTGTTTATGAGCAGATGCGGTTGCAGCAATTGTATTATTTTTAAGTCCCACCTTGCAACTAAGCGATCCGACTTCTCATTAACACTATGCTGTCAGTCAATTGCCCAGGGTTTCACTTTTGGCTCAGGTCCCTTTTAAAACTACTTTTGCTTAAGGGCATTTCATGTTTGCTTAGCACAAATTTCTTCTGAAGGCTGAAACAGTGGTTCTAAAAAATGTGATATATCTCTGACAAACCCAGGGCTTCTGGTTTTGTTTGCAGTGGCAAAGGCAGTCTGGCAGTCTGATTATCTTCCCTCTGCCTGCCTCGCTTGATCTTCTTCATCTCAGCTGGTAGGTTGGGAAAGCCATTTTCTTGCTGGAGTTTGGGCAACAGGAGGGACAGAGCAGGTGCTGCAGTGGGAGATGGTGACTGCACCTGCACAGCCTAACGAAGCTGGTAGCTGCTAATTGCAAGGCAAGCAGCCTCAATGCTGTTTTCAAAATAAGCAATAAAAAGCTCTGGTTTGTGAGGGCTGATAAGCCGTGGTCAGCACTGATGTAGTATCGTGAGTAGCTCCAGAATTTAAATATCGGGGAATTTGCGGTTGAGAGTTGGAAGCTCTTCTCTGATGCCCTGTTGCCCATTGCACAGGGGAGAGCGTCCCATTCGGTCCATTGCGGGAGGGTGGATGAAGTTTGCTTCAGGTTTCGAGGTTTTTCTGACTCAGCCTCACAAAAGCAGGAAGGCTCCTCTGGAGCCTTCTCGCAATTAAACCATCCCTTCTTGAGCTTGCAGAAAAGTCAAGAAACACTGTGTCCAATAGTTCACAGCTTTTATTCTGACAAGCGGGACTGGGGATGATACCACTAGCTGCCTTCCAGATCCCTGGCTGTCTTGGGATGCATCTTGGAAATATTAATGCAGTCTCACGGAAGCTCGGGGTATCTGCACTCTCTGTTGATCGGTATCCTAAACTTTTTTTTAAACTAAGTTTTCCCAGGCAGCTGGGGTGATAAACTGCAGGAGGGATTGTGTGAAGCATCAAATGAGTGTTGGAGCAGCCTGGTTGGCTCAGCATTATCTTGCATGGCTAAAACCTTGTGATTCTGCAGGACCAGCTCCTCTGTGCATGGAGCGCAGGATTTCCGGCAGCCTGCTGATGGCGGAGTAGAAAAAAGTAAAAAAAGTGAATGTGTGTATGTGCATGAAGAGAATACACGTGGCATCTTAATACCTTTCAGCTCTGCTTATTGAGTGCTGATTAACTCCTAGAATTTAGTGCTGCCATTAAAAGGTTATTTACTACCTGGGCTTCAGTGGTTGTGGCATAATTCTTATGATGCTGTGCATCTCCTGCAGGATTAAAGTGGATAACTGCAATTGCCTCTAGAAGCTCCCCTGAAACACTTGATGAAATCTCAACTATTTTTTTTCCACTCTTACCTTTTTAGCTGCAGGAAATGAAAAGGAGAGTCCTGTAAACTTTCAGAGTGGATCGCAGAGAGCAATCTATAAACATCAAGAATATAATGTTACCGACAAGCAGTAAAACTAACATTAGGGTGATTTACTCTAGAGCTGCTTACATATTGCTCTTCCTGATCCACTTTGAGAGTTTATGGTTAGGCTTTCTTTTTCATTTCCTGGTGCTATAAACATAGTGGCTGGCTCTGAAATGGGCTCTGCCTGGTTTGCAGAAGTGACCCTACTTCTACCATAACTTATCCTGCAGCTGATCTGTGCTGACATCCCAGTAAGTAAATACCGTATTAGAGCTAATCGCATACTCATGGAGCTAATCTGCGCTTAAAAATGACGGAGGGAGAACGCAGCTGATGTTTGCACAAGTTGTGGGAGCAGTTTGTTTTTCTTGCTTGTTCTCTTTCACTGTGGAAATACAGCCTGGACGTAATTTCTCCTGCTGACCCACTGCTACTGTGCTGGTTTTATGCTGGTTGTATATAATAAATTGTCCCCTTAGCCTCATCTGTTCTTACGCAGTAAGCTCCTCAGAGCAAGGTATATCCTTTGTGCTTAGATATATGTACTTGGGTACTTTCTCTGTAATTTGTAATTGGTGTAAGCCTCAACATCGTTAGGCTTGCCATAAGCTGGTACTGTATCTTAGATGTACAGTTACAACTGCATAGAGGTGTACTGGAAATGGAACTTAGCCTAAGGATTACAGGATTGGCCTGGGATTTAAACAGCTGCACTCAGCTGCTCTGGTAAAGCCTTCGTGTTATCCCAGGCAGGCCATCTAGGGCTAAATCACTAGCAGAGAACTTGGTATTACCGGGCATTTTGGCCTGACACCTCTGTGCTCCTGGAGCTCCCCAAACCGCTGCTGGATGTAGGTGTGGGTTTGTGAGGATGCTGTGAATTAGCGTTACTGCCCATCCGCTGAGCCGTGGTAACTGCACCGCTGCATCCCGGGGGTTGCGCTGGATGCTTCAGTACCTCGGTGCTGTACTTGGGCTTTAGGCTCTTTCTCAGCCTTGCAGTGGTGGCTGTGGGTATGAAGCTCAGCTGGCTCAGACCTGGTCCTTGTGGGTCAGGAGCCCTCCTGGGGGGGAGGAAAGGCAGGGAGCTAGTGAGGACCTGAGGCAGTCTGCATTTGGCTGAAATGCGCTTATTGGCGAGTGCTCCCATGGAAATGGGTGTCTTCAGCTGAATAAATGCAAAAAGGAGAACAGGACTGTTATGGAGACAAGTGTTATGATCTGGATTCGCTCTTCCTTCCCAGGCTGCTGTGGTTAGTTGGGTCTCCGTGGTCCTGCCCCTCTGTCACCCTGAAGAGGAGGTGGGAAGAGGGCCCTGTTCCTGGGGGATGCCCAAGCATCAGCTGTCTTCCACTCCATGTCCTTCCTTACGCTCTTCATTTTAAAGAGCTCCTTTTTCTTTTTCCCTCCCCCAAGCTCTAAGCCTTGTGTCATGAGCAGGCAACAAAAAGAAATGAGGGCTCATGATTTTAACAGAAAAAGATATTAATTTCTCATGTGGCATTTTGATCTTGAGATGTGCTTGCAGGTGGAGGAGCTGGTTTTAAGGAGCTGTGCGGATTCCTGGGGTGTGCTAAACAGTGCTGGCTGTTGTGCCAGCAGCTGAAGCATAAGGAGCTGGAAGTCTTGCAAGCAGGATATTAAACTGACATTAGTGTCACGGTATGGGGTGTGAGTTAAAGGTTGGAGAGGCCTGTGGGTGTATACCACCGCAGCTCTGAGGGCAATCGTTTCTCTGCCAGGGGAAACAAGCAGTAATGCTGCTAGATAGTCTCCTAGACAGGGCAGGTGTGATTGGAGCAGTTTTGTTTTCTATGAGATTTTTTTTTTGATGTTTCTGTAAGGAACATAAACATTTATGCAAATAGAAGACACTTAATCCTTTTATCTTCCAGTTCAGGTTAGATTTCTGCATATAGATGTGGTTTCCAGGTGAGAGAATACCATATTTACTTTTGTCTGGCTGTCTCTGTTAAGCAAGCGCAGGGTGTAGGATTTCAGCAGTAACCTTGTGAGAGAGCCCACGCTGTGATACAAGCGCACGTAGGCTCATGCACAACTGGCCTCTTGTTCGGTACTCGGCCTTTAGGAAGATAATCCTTGTGGAAGCCACAGGTTGGGGTTTCCTTGAAGTGTCAGTGGGTGTCTTGTGTCGGTGTTTTAAAGGTGCTTTGGACCCCCCTCTGAACAGGATAACCACTTCTGTGTCCTCGCTTAATGCCAAAGGCCTTTCACAGCAGCAGGTTTTTAGGGCTTGGGGCAGCGATGAGGCAGGTGGAGCTGCACTTTAGTCCAACAGATTTATCTGTGTTTCACCTTCCTCTTCCCTTTTTCTGCATGGTGGTTTCTTTGCAGTTGCTTATTTGCCATTGCAACTAGAGAGAAGCTCTGTAATCACATGCAATATTTAGACCCTCTTCTGGCCGCAATCAGTTCAATGTCTTAACTTCTCCAAATGAAGTCTTCAGACTGACTTGTGTCTCTCAATCAGACAGCTTGGTGCGGTGCTTAGGGCTTCCCAGGGCACAGCCAGGTCCAGGTTTCTTAGCCAAGAACAAGTTATTTTTAACCTGTAATTCTCTCTTTCCCAGATGCTGAAGGTTACCTGGTGGATGGACTGCAGAATGAAAACTTGAGCGCTAAAGCGAGGGAGCAGAGGGATGCAATTCTCTTTGGTTTCCAGCAAGTCAAAGCCAGGTTTGTTATCTGCATTCTTTTCTAATGAAAGTGCTTTCAAATAGTGTCACACCTTGGGGTGCCACACGCTGTATTCGACTAGCTGGACCATGCTTTGAAAGTTAATGGATGTTCAGGGCTTGGCATAATGAGAGTGCACCACACACAGGTTTGTACGCTCTCCTATGTAACCAGTTAGATGGCTGTCTGCAAAGTTGTCATTATTTCTGTTTGGAATTTGTTTTGCATATCGAAGTAAAAAAAAAAAAAATCATGCCTTGGGCTGTGTCTGTACAGCTCTTGGCGTATGGGCCTCTGATCCTGTCCTGTTCTTCCTTCTCCATTGTGCTAAGAGATGATTTTGTGGAGAAAATCCATCACTCGATGCTTAGGCTTGTGGGTAAATCAATACAGTGAGCACAGATTTGTGCTGCTGCCTTGCTACTGGAAGTATCTACACAACTGGCTCCTGAACTCAAATATGTGTTGCCTGGACTTTGATAGAGTAAAAAGGAATGAAGAGCAATTCCTGAATTAAAACTCAGGTCTGACCTGGGTTCCAAAGTCTTGTGTCCTTGGGACTGTCAAAGTCCTGCATGAGAACATAAGCTGCATCATTTGGATGAGTGGGTGAAGCAAACAAAGGTTGTTCTGTTGTGCTAGGGGAAAATCAAGGAATGTAAATGGAAAACAGGTTGCTGGAGGCTTAAGCAAAACTTTCAACCTCAGCTGCATTGTATTTTTAACTAGAAATGTGATCCAAAGCTTGCTGTTAATGCTCTAGTTACAAGATATGAGTTGTGTCACTTGAAGTTAAGACCTGACAATAAAACTCGGGGTGGCTGACTGATCTAAGCATCCAGTTTAAATAAAACTGCTGTCGAGTCCCTGAGAAGTGGAGAATTTTATCCTTCGGAAGGGCACAGCCAGACTCTATTCCCTGCAGTCCCACTGAAGAACTTTGCAAGATGCCCTGCTGTATCTTAATCGATCTTTCCTGCTGGCTAATTAAGCATCAGTTTTACTCAGCAACACGGGACTGTGTAATTATCAGCCTGGGTTGCCCTGAATAATTGAAACAAGCTGAACGCAGAAGATGGAAACCGTTGGAAAATGGGGCCATAGCATATCTAATGGAGGAATGATGTGTGTGGGTAGCAGTGTCCTGTAGAACTGCAGAAGAAAGGGCTTGATTGCATGTTTATGGTGTGGTTTCCCTGAAAAATTCCCGCTCATTGGCAGGTATTGATCTTGGATGGAAAGAGTTAAGTAAGCAGAACTCTGAACCTGAAGTATTCAGACATCAAGTCAAGCTTTCCGTCAGCTGTCCTGAGAACATGCAACTTTAAAAGTGACAGCTCTTTGTCCTCATAAAACGTAACTCTAGGTCTGTTTTTGATGAATTAAAACCAAATAGCATGGAACTTGATAATTATCATGTATGAGGCATGGAAATACCGGATTGTTCTTGTGTCCTGAATTAGGTGGTCTGTCTTCACGTGCCATTAGATTTATGAACGGTGCTGAAGCAGCGGGGAAGGACGCTGCTGTGGCCATCATCCTGTGGACCTCCAGCTTCCCGAAGGCTGTGTGTGATTTTGGTGTTTTTGGTGACTTGCTCAAGAAGGAGCAGCAAACGCTGATGCATGGGGCAAATATTGATGATGCTGTAACGCAGAACTTAATCATTGGCTCTTTCTCAGCCTAAGAATACAGTCTGGGGCAGTCATCTCAAAAAAGCAGGAGATTTGGTGAAGCGGATTTGCACTGGGAGGAGAGGTGATACGCAGATTCCTCCTGGGTGCTCAGGTTCAGATGTGGGCCTCAGTCCTGTTGCTTATTGAAACAAATTGCAGGCACTTCTGGAGGGGAAAGTGAGACCCTTGAGCAAAGACTGCAGGGCACTGCTGATTTCCTACTTGTGTTTTATTGCTCAGTGGCATTTGGAAAGGGTGAGAAGAACAGAGTATATAGATGTCCTTGTTCTGACCTGAGCCATTAATGCAATGATTTGTGGTGGGAGATTACTGTAACGATGACTGTATCTCTTTATTTGAAAGGATCTAAGCGGGTCTTGCTCTTGGGGGTGAGGCACAGGTTTGTCTCTTTGGGGAGCTTCCTGTGGCTTTTGTGGCGGGTGTTCAGGAAATCGTCAGCTGTCGTCTTCAGGAAGCGCCGGCCTCTCCCGAGCAGCCCCGCTCTCTGCATTCTGCCTCTGCAGGGTGAAGCACAGCACGGCGTGTAGGGTTTCATTATTTGGGTTCATAATGGACATAAGTAAACTGCTCAACTACTGGGGAGAGACACACGCGTCTCTGAAAGGGAAGAGCTTCATCTAGTATGATTAGCCTGAGCCAGTCTCAATAACTGTTCCTGTAACTTGGCCGTCAGGTCTTTATATCGCTGCTCTCCCCATGGCCTCGTAATGCTCCCCCACCAGGAGGTTTGCTGATGACTGTAATGTGAACAAGTGGTTGGGCTTTATGTCTCCATGTGCTACCTGTGAGGATATATTGTTCCTGTCTCGCCGCAAGAAGTGCGGTAGGTAGGGAGTGGATTGTGTTTGCAGGTTATAATTTTTTCCAAGGCAGTCTGGGGTATTTTTGCTCGAGGAGCCGTGTCGGAGGCGTTGCAGGCAGTGGCTGTGGGGAGGCTGTCACCACATGGCTGAGTTATGAGTCCCTGTACCGTTTTACTTTCAGAATTCATTTGGTTATTTAAAGTGCACTGTTGTGTTGAAACAGTTTTCCTTATCTTTTTTTTTTTTCCCCTCCTTCCCTACTAACTCAGGTCCTGTTCCACTTTCTAATATCTTACATGTAAATCCTGGCCTGGCATTTTTTTTCCTAATCGTCTCTTTGGTTTTGTTTTGCTTTGCATGACATCCAGGAAAACAAGCCACAGAACACAGCTGGAGGCTTGGTCCCCAGGAATTACCTGTGTGAGGGATGAGGATCTTGCAGCACAGTAGCATGTACGGTTTCCTGCGTCCTGACCGTAGGCTGAGAACTCTGCTCGAGTCCGGAACAGAAAAAACAAAATGTTCGTAATGGATAAAAGTTGCTTAAAAAGCAGCTTTCATTTGGGGTTACGTAGGTGGAGGATGGGGTGCTGTGGCAGGGTTTTGCTTGTCTCCCAGAAGCCCCAAAGGTTATCGATTGTTTCTGGTTTAGGTCTGTTGGTGATGAGGGTTTGTTTCAAGTTGTTCCTTGGGAACGTCACTGCTGTTTCTCGTGTCCTAACAAAGCTGGCTGCAGGGCTAGCAGCAGATGTCCGACACCTGGGATGAATCGGATACATGACTCCGCTCAGGAACACAAGCCCATTCTTGTCCTTTGGCAAGAGCAGTAACAAAAAAACCCCGTCTTCTTGCTGTTAAATGACCTCACCTCAGCATTTCGACATTTCTAGAGCAGTTACAATGGCAGGGGGTGAGATGGGGAGAATGGGATTTATTTAAAAATATGGAGATAAATAGTTTCTCCATCTCCTTGGAGTCAGCTAGTCATTTAAACTCCCTGTAGGAAGGCAAGTTTGCATTGATGGAAACAAATTCTTAGTATTTTTTTTTCCCCCTGAGGCAAAATGTAATAGTGCTAAAAGGAGGGCAAGGCAGACCTGTTGTATATCAAAGCAGAAATGAAGAGAAAGGGGCTTAATTAATGTTGAGTTTCTTGCATACACCCACTAGGAAATCCAAAATAGACACTGAAACTCTACCTTTAATTTGCTCCGCTGTGACTAAAACACCAACGTGAACTTGAGGCCCAATCCTGCTACTCATAACTAATACACAAGGACCATTTTTCAACATTCCTACCAGCAGCAGGAGCTCCAGTGTAGACCAGGCTCTTCACCTCTGGATAACAAGCCCCAAAAATTCATTTTACTCCCTTGTTGTCTAATCTTCCTTAAAGTTTATGGCAGTATTCCCAACGCTGCTACTGTGCTATCAGTGAGGAAACGTCGGCGCGTGGTCTCTTAACTCTGCAGTGAAACTCCTGACGTATTGGACATCTCCAGGTGATGTCCTGGCCTGCCAGAGAGCCTGCAGGAGCCAAGGTCCTTCCTGGACCTCTGAATTCACAGTAGTGCCAGGCTGGTACTTGTGCACAGGGTCACAAATGCAAGAGTGCTGTGGCTGGCAGTGTGTTTGGCTTCCCAGCCTGGACAGCAGACGTGTGCTCCCTGCCTGGCCAAGTGACTTAGGTCTCTAAGGTAAAACTGGGATGAGGTTTAAATGTCTGGTTGTGTAGTGAACACCATAGCTGTCCTGCATCTTCAACCAGAGGCTAGGCTCTCCCACAGCGAGCCTTGCTCGTAACACTGAGGTTCAGAAAAATAAATACAGCCTCTGAGCATAGAAATTGCTCACCCTTGGTGCAGAGATGCAGAGTACAGAGCGGGGCTAAGATGCTCCTGGTGCCTGGGCATACGTTTCCATACTCTGTTTCAGTCTGAGCTGCAGAAATACTTGGTTTTGGGGAGCAAACGTGGGTAACGCCGTCACCTAGTTCCTGCTGGGTTCTTTGCCATGTCTGGCCCTAACAGTGCAATGTCAACAAGAAGTCCTGTGCTTGCTGCTGGAGCCGAGACAGGATGGTTTGACCCCAAATGGAGGTGCAAGGGTAAAGACAACCCAGTGTGACTGCTGCTGGTTTGGGTGTCCTTGGGTTGTGCTACAAATCTGAGCAAGCTGTTGTAGCATGTGGTTCACATGCACACTGTCACAAACTTACGGGTTTTACTGGTTTACAGGTGTTGCTGAACTGTAGATACTTCAACACCGGGGGAACTTCACCTCATTATCGGGTTAAACTTGATCCTTTCTGTGGCAAGGCATTACAGCAGGACTGCAAAAGACGCACTAATGGGCATACATCCCAAATTTTGTCTGGAGCAGTGTGTTTGGCCTGTTTTAATAAACTTCTAACCATATTAGCTGCATCTACTACTTCAATTTTCAACCTTATTTTAAAGTTTTAAGATTGAAATTAAAGAAAACACAATTTCAGGGTAAT